TGGTTTTCTCCTTTACATTTCTATGGAAGATAAAAGAGAACAGAGTAACTGTAATGGTTTGAATGTGAAGTGTTTCTGCCAACTCACACACTGGAATACTTCATCACCAGCTGGTATCGCTGGCTTGGGAGGCTGTGGAAACTTTGGGTGGGCCTGGCTGGCAGAGGTGGGTCACTGGGGGTACACCTTTGAGGATTAGACCTTCCTACTTATGGTCTCCTTCTCTGCTTCCTGGTTGGCTGCCACAGTGTGACTAGCAGCCTCATGCTCCTGCCACTCCAAAGGAAGCTGTTTCCATTCTATGCCTTCCTAATCTTCCTGGAATCCTCTGAAACTGTGAGCTCAACTAACCTTGCCTTCCTCAGGTTGTTTCTGTCAGACACTTTGTCACAGTAAAGAGAAAGTAGCTGATACAGTGACTTTGGCCTGTGCATCATCTTGTTATTGTTAGAAAGGTAGATGCCCACTCTACCTTTCTGCTTTCTGAATTAGAGTCTGCATTTGAACCAGAAAACTCAGAAAATTCATGTGCAAGTCAAGTTTGAATTTGACAAAGAAAAACAGGTCATCGTAAATTACGTTTCTTTTTTGATATGGAGAAAAGATAAACTCATGTACGGACGACTTGTATGTTCTGAAAATGTTAAGAAATTATAAAAGTGTGAAATGATATTGTAAGACGTTTGAGAGGCTGGAAAGATAAAAATGATCTCAAATGCAAATTAATATATTTGGGGAAACTGATAAGGAAACCCTCACAGAATATGTAACATGATATGGTGGAAAAAAGCCACTGGCTCAAACAAAATTAAAGATTTTGTTTGTTTTGAGGCAGGATCTCCCTATAGCCTAACTACCCTGGAATTTTCTATGTAGACCAGGCTAGCCTTGAACTCACAGAGATCTGCCTGCCTCTGCCTCCTGAGTGCTGGTATTAAAGGCATGCACCACCACACCTGACAAGGTTGTTTTTTTTTAACTGAGAATTTCAAACGTACATCCAATACTTTAAAATCAGATCAACCCTCCACTTCATCTTCTCCAGTTCCTCCTCTCTCCCCACCCCAACCACCTTTCCCTCCCAACTTCATCTGCTCTCTTTTTTAAAAAACCCACTGAGTCTATTTAGTGCTGCCTATATGTACATGGGTGTAGGGCCATGTCCAGTTTGCTTTCTGATGCTGTTACAGACACTATAACCAAAAGCGACTTGGGAAGGAAAGGGTTTTAGCTTGCAGCTTAAGGTCTATCATCAAGGTAATTTAGAAAAGGAATTTAAGGGAGGAACCTGGAGGCAGAAACTGAGCAGATACCATGGAGGAATGATGCTTACTAGCTTGCACCCCTGGCTTGCTTAGCCACCTTTCTAATGCATCCCAGGCCCACCCACCTGGAGATGGCACTGCCTACAATGGGTTGGGTCCTCCTACATCAATTAGCAATTAAGAAAATGTCTCACAGACATGGCCACAGGCCAGTCCAATAGAGGAAATGCTTCAAATGAGGTTTCTACCTTATCACCAGTAGCCTTTTGGGGACTGTATCCCTCAAGAAAACTGATACCCCCTCCCTCAGCAGACATCAATTGCCAATAGTTCCTCAGCTAGGAGTAGGACTCCATGAGCCCCTCCCACATCCATTCTGGGATTTGGGCTGACCTGATCTGAATATGGGTTCTGAGCATGCTGTCCCAGCCTCTGAGTTGATATGGACAATTGTCCTGTTATGTCCTACAAACAAGGTTTCACTGCAAATGTCCACTACCTCTGGGTCTCACAATCTTTCTGCCCTGTCTTCCATGATGATCCTTAATCTCCAAGGAGAGGGATATGATATAGATGTAATGCTGAGCACTCTACACAGAGTCTCTTGTTCTCTGAATGCTGACCACTTGTGAGTCTCTATATTAAGTGCTGTCTATAGCAAAAAGAAGCCTTTCTGATGAGGGATGAGAGATGCACTAATCTATGGTCATAAAGATAAGAACCTAGTTTAATGCTGTGCCCATTTAGCAGAATAAAATCATGAGGTTTTCTGTAGAGCTTATAACCTAGCCAGTTACAGGTTTGGGGCCCAGTTAATAGTACCAGGAATGAGGTCTGTCTTGTGGAGCAGGCTTTAAATCCAATGAGAAAGTGGTTGGTTCTTTCCATAACATTTGTACCACTACTGCACTAGTGGGTATATCTTGCCAGGCCAGTCATTGTTGTAGCTCACAGGGTTAACAGCTGGGTAAGACTGTTGATTAGTTTTTTTTTTTCTCCTGTTATATAAATAGAACCTTCTGCCCTGTGAAAGCCAGCCAGCCAGTAGGGATGAAGATTTGAGATCTTGATTTCTCTATGTCCTATATCTCAAGTATGTGGTATCTTTAGCAATAGGATCTTATCATCACATTCTGGAGGATAAGTAAGAGCAATGGAAATAACCTTTAGTATTTGTGTGGAGTCTATGGGACTCCACTAATAACTCCAAAAGAGCTAACCCATACCCAGTACTAGGCTTTTTATTTGTTAGCCTTTTGGGGTAACTCCATTTAAACTCTGTTTACATATGTATATGTAAATATTTTAGGAAACGTCTACAGGATTAGGTTTCATATGGCATTTCCAGAGGTCTTCAGTGTTAGAGATCCCTCCCCACATTCCCTGCTCTGCCCTGCCTTCCCACCCCCACCCCATTTAACACTACTTTTCCTTCTTCATGCCATCTGTGTTTCATCTATCTTCCCTTGAAATCCATCCCCTTGCTAGTTTCCTGACTTGTGTGGACACTTGGATTTAAACACACATAGATTCAAACCTAGTATTCACATATAAGAGAGAATATGGAGCATTTGTCTTCCTGGGTCTGGGTTATCTCACTCAGCATGATTATTTCCAGCTTATTTATTTACCTGCAAATTTCATAATTTCATTTTTCTTTTGAGGCATCTCTAACAATTAATAAAAATGAAATTGTTAGAGATTTCTTAAAAGTCTAACAGTTGAGATTTGTATACTTCTCCTACTGTTAGTGACACCATTTCCTAGAAAGAGAAAGATGCAAGATTGGTTATGGCATAGGAAGAACTGATTATGGGGAGAGGGAAGAATAATTAAGTGGGCAGCACCACGCTGTAAAAAAGGCTTTGGAGGCATGCATATTTATCTGATGTTTGTCCAGTGCTGTTTCTTGTAGTATCTATAACAAAGGCTGCATAACTAGAAGGGTGCAGAGAAACAGGTTCCACAGCAAAGCCAAATGAATTAAATTAGGATAAATTGCTTAAATTAGGAGTAATATCAAAGATTATGTTTCAGAAAAAATTTACTTAGTGCCTAAGAAACAACTTTGAATGGGATAACTTTACTCCTGAGATCTTTTGATCAGTGAGCAATGACTGAAAAACTATTCACTGAGTACCTGAATTATCGCCCTATGGAAAATACTCTGTCCCTTGAAACTTCTAAAATTGGTATGGAGAATAAATAGGATGCCATGTATGAGAAGCCTCTCCATGCCGGCAGAGACCTGGCGATGGATGAACAATAGGTTTCTTTTTCAACATCTTGATTATTTCCGATATTACCATAGAGAGCTGTTTTTCTTTGTCTAGGTTTGTATCATATTTTTAAACAAGCCAGTTTTCTATAAAAAACGTAGAGAGTGTCACGCATCTTCCCTCAGTGGTATCTGCCTCACTGATACCCTACGGGTCTCTTCACTAATTTCATTTAATTAGATGGTAGTTAATTAAGAGAGGCATGTCACTGCATTGCAAAGGTAGCTTCTTTTCCTGCACTCACTTATTCAGGAGATGAGAAACAAGCCTGCAGTACACTTTGCTTTTGGAGCCATTTGTCCAATGGATGCAGAAACTCTGGAAACCTGGCATCATTCAGTACCCCAGCGACTTAGTCATGCTACTTTTTACCAGGTTGAGAGTCTAATTCATTTTAACAGGAATAATGTTCTGAGAGGCACAGCACCTCATTTGTCCTTTTGTATGTTAACATCTGAACAGGGAGGCCCCAAGCTCTAGTTCCATGAGGCAGGAAGCAAGTAAACAGTAAAAATTAGTAATCAAATTCATTACTTTCTCCACTAATTCCTTTAGGTTTGCCTTAGTATTTCCCAAGATACCTACTTTAATGTTGATGCCACTAAGAATTATTAATATCAAATATGTCAACTGGATATACTATTTTATGTTAGTATATAGGAGGATTTACCAAACTCAAATATTAAGCCACACTAATTATAAAGTGATCATTGCATTCTATTGTTGTCTCCATAACACAAGACAAATTCCTCTATTATCACTGTGGAAATTACTTTTAACCAATTGTCAGCTTTTTACATGTAAAAATAACAACTATCTTCAAGGTGAAAATAGCTGGGTGGAAAAATAGTCCTGTAAGTTGCAATGTTTCTTACCTCCACTTGCTTCCTTGTTGCCATACCTACCAAAGAGGTGAAGGGAGGAGCCTGTCCTTTTTCTAAATCATTCCACTAGTATGGCATTGATTTTCCTCTCAAGTTCACCTGGGGTCTCAGGTCATCACGCTTTTTCTCACATTACTCATATTGGTATAGCACCTCGGTTCATGGCTGACATATATTGCTTGAGCTGGGATGGCATCACACACCACGGATATTTACTGGTGGTGGGGTATGCCAGGCCTCTGTACACAAAACAGAAGGAATAAACTGCTTCGCAACAATATTTTTTCCTTGAAAAGTAACGATTGTGCTTCCTGAAAGATATCATAAGCCCATGAGTGCTGCTTAGAATTCTTCCTCACCCCAACAACAATGCCTTGAGTTCTTTTGTGTCTCTCGCTGATAAAAGAAAAAAATCATCACATGAGTATGAAAATATTCCAGTGTTATGCTGTTTATGGAAAAGATTTCGTTACTGCTCAGAAGAATTGTGCTAGCCTGCCTGTGCAGCTGCTGGTGCCCATTCTTCCTTAGCTGTGGTTCTCCTCTCATTTCATCACTTCCTTCTGTTTCAGCTAGCTGTGAGGTGGTTGGAACACAATTGCCACTGCCAGCACATGGACGAGCTCCTGCAGTACATCCGCTTTGGCCTAATGGACGTGGATACACTCCACACCGTTGCACTGTCCCACCCTCTGGTCCAGGCGAGTGAAACTGCCACCGCCCTTGTCAATGAGGCCCTGGAATACCACCAGAGTATCTATGCACAGCCTGTGTGGCAAACCTGCAGGACAAAACCACGCTTCCAGTCAGACACTCTGTATATCATTGGTGGGAAAAAGCGTGAGGTCTGTAAAGTAAAAGAACTTCGGTACTTCAATCCTGTGGATCAGGAAAATGCCCTCATAGCCGCCATTGCCAACTGGAGCGAGCTGGCTCCCATGCCTGTGGGAAGGAGCCATCATTGTGTGGCCGTCATGGGGGACTTCCTGTTTGTAGCAGGAGGGGAAGTGGAGCATGCCAGTGGCCGGACGTGTGCAGTGAGGACTGCCTGTCGCTATGACCCTCGCAGTAATTCCTGGGCAGAGATAGCACCCATGAAAAACTGTCGAGAGCATTTTGTGCTGGGTGCCATGGACGAATACCTTTATGCAGTTGGGGGCAGAAATGAACTGCGCCAGGTTCTGCCTACAGTTGAGAGATATTGCCCCAAGAAGAACAAATGGACTTTTGTGCAGTCCTTTGACCGATCCCTTTCGTGTCATGCTGGATATGTGGCCGATGGTCTTCTTTGGATATCAGGTAGAACATGCCTCCTGTGTTGGATTTATTGAAAATCACTTTAACTGTGGCTTAAATTTAAAAGTCAAGTTTTGGGAGTACAGCCATGTATAATTGAACAATTAAGCCGTGGATGCCATTTTAGCTAATTAACCATCATTTATGAAGCACCTACTCTATAGGGAACAATGTAATTGGAAGTAATTGACCTTTGTGCGATTTTTCTGAGAGGTAATGGCCACCATACCTGTTTTTGTGTCAGACCTTCTTTTGCTCATACTATCAGCTCCTGATTATCTGTGAGGTGCATTGCACAACTTGTACTTTACACACGTCCTTTGCATTTCCTTTCATTCTTGGCTTCCTGACTAGGAGCAATTTCTTTAAAGTCGGGAGGGGAAGCACCCTAGCAAACTATTTTACTGAGTATAGCAAGAGACATTAGCTGTACTGTGTATTGAAGGAGGGGTTTTAAGCCCCAGAAAGAATGTTTTTGTGTTATCTGTGAGTGGTGGTTACTGGTGCTATCCTATTCCTTCAGTCCTGCTTATTCTCATTCTGGTTATGGTTATTCTCATTCTCATATGGTTATGACCATATTCTGACTAATATGGTCAACTCTGCACCTATAACCCAGCTTCAACCAACTTTTATTCATTGTTGACTTGTTTTATCCACATGTGTACAACCATCCACTCCCTTCCTGGCTGTCGTTTTGTTTGTACAGATGCCTGTGGACGTGTTATCAGTCTCAGGGTATCAACCTATGTTTTCAGTTCTTAGGAGGAAAAGGCTGCATCTTCTCTCATTTGGAAGATTCTCATTTTGTAGCCAAAATAGAAGTTGTATTTGGGTGTCCTCAAGAGCATAGAGAAAGAGAAAGATCCATAACCAAACTACTAAAAGGTAACCTTGATGTCTGTAGGTGGAAAATGATCATTCTTAGGAAGTAAAGGCTTTGTAGCTTTCCCTAGTTGTCATCTCCAGTTTTTTAAATATCTATTTTGACAGAAATCTCTGTAGATTAAATTAGTTTCAATTTTGCTCATTTTTCCTTCTACCGTCCTCAGTAACCAGGGAGATCCATAGCCTCAGTTATTGGCAATTCACTAATTTTTATTGATGTAACTTAGTTTACATTGGGTTTAAGGGCTTGATAAATTAATGAATTAAGTCAAGACTCCGTTAAGGAAAGAGCAAAAAATGAGAACTCAACACTTACTAGTCCCATATACCAAATAAACATTAAAAGTAATCGCGTATATTATAGATGTATTTAAATAAAAATCTCATTTATTAGTGATTTCTTTTGCCTTTACATATATATTTAAAGCATTAAAAGAGCCACCAGGACTATATCCTTTTGGTTTTGCTGAAGAAACTTCAAAGTGTCTGCAACTGATAATTGCTAATGATAATAGGAACAGATCTAGACTTTACTGGACAACAGAGCAATGAAGAATTTATGAAATCAATGCAATTTGTGTTTTCTTCCAATTTGCATTTCTTCCATTGGCTCGTTTAGTTTCATATGTTGCTAATATAGTATATTCTTCAATTTTGCAACATTCTTTCTAAATTTTGTATGAATTTCTCATAAATATTTTAATAAATGTGCCTTGTTTGGCACTGTAAACTAGCTTTTAAATAAATCCTGGAGTTTCCCTTACTTAGCCTTAAAGGGATGACTACTTACCCATTTCCAGTGAGGCTTGAGGAAGCACAGAAGCTCATTGTAGACTGGCTATATCGATCACCTTGCTATCAAGTGAACTTCCCTCTCAATATGGGCCTCTATGTTTCCCTCTCCATTTTATTAAATGCACCAACTTGTCGTATATCTTAGTGTTTCTCGCTTTGTTTTCTTCCTTCTGTGGAAGTACACACATTTCCTTTGTTCTTGTACTAATGTATTCTGCCTGAGTTAACCATATTTAATGAAAACAATCACGATTTTCAGGCTTGTCTCCCCACTTGAGAAGTTCACTTTCCTGTGTAGCGTACAATACCTTTAATTGGAAAGTAGAGGAGATCGCCAGTGACATTTCTTATATCTTCAGTCGTGTGCCTCTTTCCTGAGGCCCAGCTTATAATAAATCAATTGTGAATCTAACCATGAATGGAGGGGTGGTTGGAGTTGCTCATGGGCCCCCTTTGAGGGAGCACAGGAATATTTCACCTGCCCATCACGGATTTGGAAATGTTAGCTTGATTTATTGGAGCAGATGAAAATTTGTGAAGCTTTTTCTTAAATTTGACCAATAATCAAGTATTGCCAAATGATTGGACTGAGGGCTGAATTGGTATCCTCCTGGTACTTTACAAGCTTTGCCTGAGGTAGAGTTAGTGTGAGTTATAGATTGTGGATTTTAGAGGCTTTGTTCTATTCCATAGAACACAAATGATCCTTTAGAGACTAATATTCACTCCCCTCCCCTGTGGGGTCAAGACATCTTGAAAACTGTCCATGGTTTGTAAAGTGTGACAAGCAGAGAGGAATTCAGAAAATCAAGTTGTATGGATATACCCATTAACATTTAATTTAAGATATTAGAGACAGACAAATTTTAAAAGCTTCTGTAGCATTTGACATCGTGACCCAATTCACAAATGCTCCATTCCATTTTGATTAGAGATCCACAGTTCTGAAGAAAAGTAAGCATTAAATATCCTGCAGCAGCATTATAAAGTGCATGCTCTCTATTGCACAGGCCAGGGAGTGAAGCACTAAAGATGTGTGTGTGTGTGTGTGTGTGTGTGTGTAGGGAAATTCATCCAAGCTCATTTTGAAGAACAATGTATCTTTTTATTTTTATCAAGTGGCAGCAAGAAAATGAGATGCCAACCACAAAATGAGTGCTTTCAAACTACAAGACAAATGTTACTTCATTGATGCAAAAGCACTATTTGATGCTTTCTTAAGTCTTCTAGTGAGTGTTACATCCTTATATACTGTAGTACTAGGTCATTGATAAATAAGATTAATTCAGCAAACACATTTCCTGCCCTCCAGGAGCTGACAATCAAAGAGGTTTTAAAAAGAGATATTTCATTAATGAAATAACATTTCTTAAAGCTTCTTTAGCTTCCTAAAAACTGTTTATCTTCAACTTTATTAAATTTATATGTATATATAAATTTAAAATACCTGCCCCCATTTAAAATAACCTTAATTTATTTATTTAAGTCTACTGAAGGACTTTGATTTTTCTGCTACCTGCTAAAATTAGAACAATGTGAATTTTGAAGCAACATCATTAAAATACCATAGCTTTGGCCTTCCTCTGTATGTACAGATATTATTCTGTTTGCATATGAAATATTAACAGGAAGGAGGGCGGGGTGACATTGGATTGTGAAACACAAAGAAAACAGAGTAGCATTGCTCACACATGTGAAACTTGCCTTGCTTCTTACTAGTCAGGAGATGCTGAGCAGGATTCTTCTCTGAGTCCTAGTCTGGAGAAATGCTGAGCAGGATTCTTCTCTGAGTCCTAGTCAGGAGATGCTGAGCAGGATTCTTCTCTGAGTCCTAGTCAGGAGATGCTGAGCAGGATTCTTCTCTGAGTCCTAGTCAGGAGATGCTGAGCAGGATTCTTCTCTGAGTCCTAGTCAGGAGATGCTGAGCAGGATTCTTCTCTGAGTCCTAGTCAGGAGATGCTGAGCAGGATTCTTCTCTGAGTCCTAGTCAGGAGATGCTGAGCAGGATTCTTCTCTGAGTCCTAGTCAGGAGATGCTGAGCAGGATTCTTCTCTGAGTCCTAGTCAGGAGATGCTGAGCAGGATTCTTCTCTGAGTCCTAGTCAGGAGATGCTGAGCAGGATTCTTCTCTGAGTCCTAGTCAGGAGATGCTGAGCAGGATTCTTCTCTGAGTCCTAGTCAGGAGATGCTGAGCAGGATTCTTCTCTGAGTCCTAGTCAGGAGATGCTGAGCAGGATTCTTCTCTGAGTCCTAGTCAGGAGATGCTGAGCAGGATTCTTCTCTGAGTCCTAGTCAGGAGATGCTGAGCAGGATTCTTCTCTGAGTCCTAGTCAGGAGATGCTGAGCAGGATTCTTCTCTGAGTCCTAGTCAGGAGATGCTGAGCAGGATTCTTCTCTGAGTCCTAGTCAGGAGATGCTGAGCAGGATTCTTCTCTGAGTCCTAGTCAGGAGATGCTGAGCAGGATTCTTCTCTGAGTCCTAGTCAGGAGATGCTGAGCAGGATTCTTCTCTGAGTCCTAGTCAGGAGATGCTGAGCAGGATTCTTCTCTGAGTCCTAGTCAGGAGATGCTGAGCAGGATTCTTCTCTGAGTCCTAGTCAGGAGATGCTGAGCAGGATTCTTCTCTGAGTCCTAGTCAGGAGATGCTGAGCAGGATTCTTCTCTGAGTCCTAGTCAGGAGATGCTGAGCAGGATTCTTCTCTGAGTCCTAGTCAGGAGATGCTGAGCAGGATTCTTCTCTGAGTCCTAGTCAGGAGATGCTGAGCAGGATTCTTCTCTGAGTCCTAGTCAGGAGATGCTGAGCAGTTCTTCTCTGAGTCCTAGTCAGGAAATGCTGAGCAGGATTCTTCTCTGAGTCCTGGTCTTTAGAAATGCCGGAGCAGGAAAGTAGAGGCATAATTGTATGTAACGGTGGAAGTCTCTCTAGGGTGTAGAAGTAATGTGAGGCAGGAAGTAATTAGTATCTTGGGTCCAGGGTGGCTTCTGCTGCCCTGTAGAGTCATTCACTCCTCTGACTTCCCACTTGAACTCTATGATATAATCATTTCAATAATTCTCTTGTTTCTAGGAAACACAATACTTGATACACCCAGCTTTCCACTTTGCTTGTATAGTTATCCTTCGATATCCACACATGATTGGCTCCAGAGTATACCCACAGGCACACAGTCACACACAAACTGCAGGCTGAAAAACCCTCATATGCTCAAGTCCCTTATTTAAAACGGCATAACATTTTCATAGAACCTATTCACATTGTCCCACATACCACAGTGTAAATACTAAAATTGTTGTACTATATTATTTAAACAATACTGACCAG